CAAAGGAAAGCATAAACAGAATTTCAATGATTTTTCTTTTTCTGTGTGTGAACTTTTTAGAGATGTTCTGAGAAAATCATCTTAGAAGTGTTTTTTTCTTCCAAGGTTGCAGTTTGGGGAGCAGAAACATAAGTTAGAAAGGGAAGTTCCATAATGAAAATGCTGGGACCAAATAAATAGAAAATAAATCAGAAGGACTGCTGTTTTTCCAAGCCAGAAATTAATTTATTTCCATGTAAAGTATTGAATTAAAACCTTAAATACAATACTTTAAACTTCAAGACAAAGGAAAACCCAAGGTATAGTTAAATAAATTATTTTCTGAGATGTTACAAGGCGGTGATGTATACTTAAAAGTTTTTATTGGAATATTTAGTTCAAAGTTTTCAACTGCTCTGTAGCCTCTGACTGCTGAACACCATGTGTTGCAAAGTTTTCTTTGTAGCCTATACTAGTACATCTCTGCTAGCTTGCATATAAATAAGGCATGCAGATGGCTGGAATGTTAGAATGGGCCTATGCTTGCCTTAAAAATGGGATTGAAAGGCAGGTTGTGAAACTATGAAGCTGTTTGTGAAGACTTAAACATTAACAAGAAAGATATGATACTTATCCCCATAAATTGGTCACAGATGTGTTTTTTTTTTTTTTTTTTTTTTTTTTTTTTTTTTTTTTTTAGCATTTCCCTTGACCCACTGGCCATCTACCATTTTTTTTTTTTTTTTCCTGACCCAAGCCAATTCCTCAAATTGTACATTCTGCAGGAAGAGAAGTTGGGTTAAGACTATGAATTCCCCAGGGTTTCCTTCAGTCTTTGCTTTCCTTATTGAGGTCGCCTTTATCACAAAAAGTTGTAGACAGTCACAGAAGTAGAAAACAAGTGAAGCCAAAAGTGAGATTAGATGATAGATCTTACAAGGAATTAGCATATCCCCATTCTTCCCTCAGCTTCAAGCTGTCTTTCAAAGGTGTCCCATTTAACATTTTCTGGGCAATCTTTTTTTTTTTTTTTAAGTCTTTATTGTTAAAAATATTAGATATGTCCCTCCTTTCCCCCATTGACCTTTCCCACCAGGCCCCTGCCCCCTACTCCAGACCTTCACCACTCTATTGTCTCTGTCCATGGGTATGCATTTACACATATGAGTTCATTGGTTGATCTCCTCCCCACACACCCCGTGCCTTCCCTCTGAGGTTTGACAATCTGTTCCATGTTTTATGTCTCTGGGTCTATTTTTGTTTATCAGTTTATGTTGTTCATTAGATTCCACATATGAGTGAGACAATATGATACTTACTTTCTCTGACTGGCGTATTTCACTTAGCATAATGCTTTCCAGGTCCATCCATGCTGTTGCAAATGGTAAAAATTCTTTATTTTTTAATTTTTTTAAAATATATTTTATTGATTTTTTACAGAGAGGAAGGGAGAGGAATAGAGAGTTAGAAACATCGATGGGAGAAAAGCATCGATCAGCTGCCTCCTGCACACGCCCTACTGGGTCTGTGCCTGCAACCAAGGTACATGCCCTTGACCAGAATCGAACCTGGGACCCCTTAGTCCCCAGGCCAATGCTCTATCCAGTGAGCCAAACCGGCTAGGGAGAATTCTTTAGTTTTTAAGGCTGCATAGTATTCTGCCATATAGATATACCACAGTTTGTTTTTTTTAATCCACTAATTTGCTGATGGGCACTTAGGCTGTTCCCAAATCTGAGCTGTTGTAAATTGCAGTGCTATGAACATAGGAGTGCATATATTCTTTCTGATTGGTGTTTCTGATTTCTTAGGATATATACCTAGAAGTGGGTTCACTGGGTCAAATGAGAGTTCCATGACAACCTTTTCAAGGCTATTCAAGAACCTCCTAAACTTTCCTTTCTTTGAATTCTCATTATATTAATCTACCTGATGCAGTTTAATTTGATTTATGTTCTTCCTAATCTCTCACAGCTGTATATTACATAGGCATATTTTTCAAGTTGAAATTATAAGCTCCATGAGGGCAAGAACATCCTAAACTTCTCTTCTATACCTGAACATTGTAGGATATAATGAATATAATTGGGTACTGATAAGTACTGTAGAACAAAGAAAGTCCTCAAAGGTAAGGACTTACATATTCTCAGTATGTCTTATTTAGTAATGAGGAAATTTAGTTAAATATCATAGCACCATGAAAATGAATAAAACACTTCTCAGAGTCTAACAGAACCCCTGTCTTTTCAGTTTTATTTGTGAACTCTATTTTTTCTTGCTGTGTAAGTAGCAACCACATTGTTGAGCTATGCATGATTTTTCCATTTAAAAACAACTGTTGTGAATCAAGGAAAACAAAATTAAATAAAAACTGAGAAGGGAATGAGCAATGGTAATAGGCTCAACACCCTTTTGTTAGGGGATTAAAGCATTAATCATCCTGTTATCTGCTATTTTGAGCTTTGCCAAAGTTGCTGGATAGGAATTAGTTCCAATTAAAGAACTTTAGAACTTTTCCTCTTATATCACCCACTGTTTTGGATTGAAAGAAGATGAATGTTGATAGCATGGTCCCAATAGTCTAATTGCAGTTTCTTTCCATTTTTTTTTTTTGCTAAGAAATTGTAGAAAAGGTCACTTTGAATTAAAAAAATTAAGAGCTTCCTTGTCAGAAAGTATCACTAATGCATATAATTACTATTTTAGATGATCAAGATGGTCTAAAAACAGACATTTTATTTTAATACTCACTATTCAATTGCATTAGTGACATTTGCTAACAACCTAAGGAAGTTACCTACTGTGGTGGTGAGTGTTGAGTTGTAAAGTTTAGCATTTTGACATGGGATGCCAGCACTATGTGTAATGCACAGGAACAGAATAAGAATCAATAAACATGTCACTTTAAAAATGTTAAAAACCTGAAATATTTCCCAATAATTCCACTAGGAAAGCCAAAATGTAATAGTCAGTAGCAGTTATTTCTTGACAGATTGCCCACTAGACTGATTTGCAAAATTGCCACAATTCACATTTAAAAAGTTAGGCGAATTCTAGCAGATTGAGGTTGGCAGGTAACATGGATAGGTTAATTGCTAAAGCTTCAAGTTATCCTTCAGTGCTGTGCTTCCTTACTTGGTGCATTGATTAAAAAATACAAAATTCAGTTTTTTTTCCACAGTTAGAGACCTACCTTGTATAATTAAGAAAATATTGGATAGTTAATTTAGGCAATCTTTGATATTTTTCAATTATTCCTCAAACAGCCTTCTTGGACTTTGAGATGAAAGCTCAGTGTCGCATTACCAGGTGTTAGGTTTATTTGTATATGCTATTAAAACACTTAGTGGCCAGTGTGCTTTGTTATTTGGAGAAGGAAGAAAGATGGCTTAGTTTAGAAGTTTAGGTCTATCCAATATGGTGCTTTGGCTCAAAGAAAGTGTTATTAAGCCTCTATAAAGATGAGTCTATTTATTGTGCCAAGTGGGATTTCATGAGTATACTGGTATATTTTAAAACTTGCTTAATTATCTTGATTATGAAAGCAACAAAGGTTTATCATGGAAAAGTTGATTTGAAAAGAAAAAAAATAAATTACTGGAAATCAAACAAAGAAAACTTTAACATTTTAATTTTATTTTTTAAAAAATGTCAATGCTCAGAGAGACCTTGGCTAGAGATGTGGATATTGACTCAATCACATGTAGAAAAACATTGGCGGTTTGAGACAGTCAAAAGAAGGTATAAAAAGACATGAGAAGAGGGTCAAAGGCAAAATCCTGGCTTTAATCTGTCTGGAAGAGAATGAGAAACTAGCAAAACAGACTGAGAAGGAAAAAAAAAAAGTAGATCCAAGGAGATCTAGGACTGAGCAATGTCATCAAAGCCAAGGTGGCAGGACATTCCCATTAGGGTGTGGTCAATAAGAAGGCCAAGTAAGTTGGATTTTAAGATTAAATTGTTGGGTTTTTTTTTTGGAAAATAGTGGGACACTGGTGATTGTATCAAGTAAGCCTATCTGTAATGATGGAGGCAGGGGCCTTAGTGAATATAATCTTAATTATGAAAGGAAGGTAAGATATATTCTAGTGAAGATAGGCTTAGAACAGTGGTCGGCAAACTGCGGCTCGAGCGACACATGCAGCTCTTTGGCCCCTTGAGTGTGGCTCTTCCACAAAATACCACATGTGGGCTTGCACATACAGTGCAATTGGAACTTCGTGGCCCATGCGCAGAAGTTGGTTTTCGGCCTGGGCGAGTCTATTTTGAAGAAGTACTCGTTGATATTTGGCTCTGTTGACTAATGAGTTTGCCAACCACTGGCTTACAAGATCGAAGAAAAGACTTCAGCACATCCATAGATCATGGCGATGTTGTCAGTGCAGTGAAGAAACAAAATATATTACAGACATACATCTTTATTGTGTTCTTTGCTTTATTGTACTTTGAATATACTGTGTTTTCAATATCAAGGCAAGATCTTCCACCAGGAAAGATAAAAACACGCTGAAGACAAGTAATGGTAGCATTTTTTAGCAATAAAGTATTTTTAATTAAGGCATGTACATTAGTTTTTTAGACATAATGCTATTGAACACTTAATAGACTGTACAATATATACTGTAAACATAACTTTTATATGCCTGGGAAACAAAAAAATTCATGTGACTTGTGTTATTGCAATATTTGCTTTGTTGTGATGCCTGTAGTCCCTCTTTATCCACAGTTTTGCTTTCACACAGTTTGTTACTTGCAGTCAATCTAATTCTAAAAATTTTAAATAGAAAATTCTAGAAATAAACAATTCATAAGTTTGAAATTGCATACTGCTTGAGTAACATGATGAAATCTTGTACGTGCAGCTCTATCCTACCGAGAATGTGAATGGTCCTTTTGTCCAGCATATCTACACTGTACATACTCCCCAACCATTAGTCACTTAGTAGCCATACAGTTTTCAGACCGACTATCATGGTAACTCAGTGTTCATGTTCAAGTAACCCTTATGGCAGCCTAATGCTATGTCATAATGCCTATGTCATTCACTGCATTTCATCTCATCATGTAGGCATTGTGTCATCTCACATCATCACAAGAAAAAGGGTGAGTATAATAAATGAGATATTTTAAGACAGAGACCACATTCATATAACTTTTATTATAGTACATTGTTATAATTGTTCTACTTTATTATTAGTTACTAGAGGCCTGGTGCATGGATTTGTGTACTGGTGGGGTCCCTTGGCCTGGCCTGTGGGGATCGGGCTGAAACTGGCTCTCTGATATCTCCTGAGGGGTCCTGGATTGCAAGAGGGTGCAGGTAAGGCTGAGGTTCCCCACCAGTACACGATTGAGGCTGCGGAGTGACCGCAGTAAGGCTTCAGGGGGACAGCAAGCTAGCCTACCAGTTAGAGCCTCTGCCTCCTGGTGGTCAGTGCGCGTCATAGCAACTGGTCCAACGATCGAATGAACAGTCCAACACTTAGCATATTAGGCTTTTTATTATATAGGATTGTCAATCTCTTACTGTGCCTAAATTATAAATTAAACTTTGTCACAGGTATGCAAGTATAGGAAAAAACATAATATATATAGAATGTGGTAGGATTATGGTTTCAAACATCCACTGGGGTTCTTGGAATGTATCCCCTGTAGATAAGGGCGGCTCCTGTATCGGAGAGTGAGGATTAACTAGTGGACTTAGATCATAGAGAAGACAAGGGAAGATTAAATTAAGAGTCTCCTGGCCCTCTGAATTGGAAACTGTTACACAATTTAATGTACATAGACAAGAAATGCTGTTCAACCCTAATAAAGAATGATATCTTTCTTTAGCATTGATATGGGACAGACTCCAACATATATTGGGAATGCAAAGAGCAAGGTGAATAGTGCATGTAGAATGCTAGTAGGACTATGATGAACACTAGTGCAGACTGTGTGCTAATATGTGAGTGATGTCCTTGGAGTTGTACATTCCATGGCCCTCTACATGACACCCCCCTGGTGTGAGACAGCACCTCACATTCCCTCTGCAGGAGGACACTCTTCAAGTTTCTCCGTATTTCTTTGTTCTGGTCAATATTCATAAAAGCAATCTTTTGATCATTTAACTTCCTACTTATCTATTTATTCAAACATATTCACCATGAGACTGATGGGCCAGATTCTCTGCTCTGCTTGATAACGTTGTTTTTAAATTGAACATTAATAAAGTGGCCTTCGGATAATAATTTGGTTCTCCATGTCACTTGTTCACAGGAAGAGAATGCGTTGGCATGCTGATATGAGTGTTTCTGCCTGATGGTAAGGCCTCTCCTAAATGAATACATTGCCATTCTTGTGTATAATATTAGTCTATGAGAAATTGATTAATGAGAGCCAACCCCTCAGAGTCAGACATACTTCAGTGTGCTAACAAAACCATGTATCTCCCTCTGTTTCTGAAAGTTACAGGCCAGTTTCTAGACTGTAGTGAATTCATTAAGCCCAATTTTACTTGTTCAGGCTCACTGCAAGCAGTCCTCTGGCCTTTTCTTGTTGATGCTCTTAAAGAAAAAAATATTCACGATGCTGTTGAAAGTTGCAAGGGAAGCTTTACTCTGATAAAGGCTACATATATAGGTGTAGGGACCACTGCAATGGGGTTTTGCAGTTGGGCAGAGAAACTTGGTTCAACCCTTAATGCAGCATGAGCAAGGTGGATTTATAGTCAAGGAGTAAGGTGGGGGGAGAGGGGGAGATGGATGGAAATTACTAAGAGGAAACCTCAGGAGTAAGGGGGGATTCTTGCTAAACTGCTCTACTAGGATTCTTGCTGGAGGCAGGCCAAGGTGATCAGTCGTAACCTGGGGGATGACGGAAGATGACAATCCTGATCAGGTACTGAGGGTCCTCATATACTGAGGATGGGGCATTCTAACTAAACTGACTTAGCAGAATTCTTCCTAAAATTGGACAATGCAGAGATAAACACTTAAGACCAAAAGTCAGGATTTTGGTTGAAAAAGAGCTCAGAGTAGCCTGAGAAGAGTCTGGTCAAGGAAAGAATTCTTGTCAATGCCCCCTTTTTTTATGGGCCATTTTCTGTTCAAATGCAGTGACACGATGGTCTCAGTCTTCTCTGTAAAAAAATACTCTGTGCATTGAGACAGTGGAGGAATGTGAATGTGTGAAATGGGGAAGAGAACTGAATTGGGGCATGAAAAGGAGTGTTGTGTAGCTAGGTTGTTCAAGTTGGCTAAGGACTATTCAGTTTTTAAGTTCCACATCCCTGACTGAAACTCCTTCAGGTTTAGGCAAATCAGGACAATTGGTCTCCTTAGATGCAGTTGACATTGGAGACTAGCAATTTATATAAAAATAAATCAGTAGGATTCAGTGATTTCTTCTAGAGGATTTAAGTAGCAAAGGAGCTGAGCCAAGGAGATGGGTATTTGAATTGACCCCACATCACAGGGAGGTTGTTGAAAAAAGATGATGGGCTGGGGATAGTGAGAGGGTTGAAATGATGTAGGTAGTGCAGGACAGGAATTGAGGTAAGGTCAGTCACGTGTCCAGGAGACACCTTGGGTCTGTGTCTCCTGAGTCTAATAACCTGTCCTTATGTGCTTGTAAAGAAAGGCAACACTGACTAGGGGGTAGCATCAGGTAGTCTTATTTCTCAATCAGTTAAAGGGTAGAAATGGTGCTTTGGTAAGAGAATTTAGGCAGGTAAGAGCAGGGGACCCTCAAGAAGAATACCAAAAATGGGCCCATCTGATTGCCCTTTAATGGTGTGTAGAATCATGGAATGTTAGAAGTTGAAGGGACCTCAGTATTCTCATCCAATTTCTTCTTTGCATATCAGAGACTGTAAATGTAGTGTTTGCATTACAGGCAAGTATGTAAAGATTAATTGACATTTTCCTCTATGTGAGAGTAACTGAAGCAATCACTGAATGAGCAGTTCAGTTTGCTTAAGAAAACAGAAATAACCAGAACATAAACTGTTAGGCAGTTTATTGCAAGTGTCTTAACAATATTGCTCCAATGCTTAGCATTTTGATTCATACTAAAATAATATCAGATTAGAGAAGAGTTAGGTTGACTATACATACTATATAGATTGAGATTCATACTAATTATACTGCTGAAAAAAAGAGCAGTATTTTAAAGAGCAAACTCATTGCTCAATACTGAGTAATCTTGAAGCAGTCTCAGTTGTTAAGTTTAATTCAGAGGCATTTATTAAGTGCCTATAATTATGAGACAATAGTTAGATGCTGCAGGACAGGAATTCACAATTCAGTTTGATTGCATGTGTTAGTAAAGTGTGGTAGGTGGGATATATGCATTCCTCATCCTCCGCAAGATGCCTATGTTCTAGTCCTGGGAAGGGAAAGTTAAAGTTGCAGATGGACTAAATTATTGCTAGTCAGCTGACTTTAAAATAGGGAGATTAATATGCAATGTGATTTCTCAACCCATATAGTGCCGAGCAGTAACTCAACATTATCACTTTCTTTTCCCTCTGAAGCAGTCATAGGAGAAAAAATTTAAATGAAAATTGTGGTCTGAATCCCTACTTCTATGCTGGAGCAATCAATTAATTACTTTGTATTTGTTTATTTAAATAAAGTTTATTTAAAATATAAAATAGGGAGATTATCCTTTATTACCTGGGTGGGCCCTATGTAATCATAAGACTCCTTAAAAGATGGCAGATTAAGGCAGAAGTCAGTGTCAAAATGATGTCATGAGAGAAAGCCATTGCTGACTTTGAAAATGGAAGGCAGCCACTAACTAAAGGATGCATGAAGGCTCTAAAAGTTGGAAAAGGAAAGGAAATGAATTCTCCCCTAAGATAATCACACAGGAAGTCAGCCCTGCCAACACCTCAATTTTAACCCAGTGAGAACCATTTTGGATTTCTGACTTCGAGAACTGTTAGATAATACATTTGTATTGTTTTAGGCCATTAAGCATGTGGTCATTTGTTAGAGCATTAATAGGAAATGAATACAGAAATAACATCAAGAAGTAAAGGGGTATCATGAACACGAAATAGAGTGGTCATACTGTGGCAGTGTGGAGAGTGCCACATAACACATGGTCTACTCAACTTCAGCCACCACTTCTTGGAATAAAAAGCTCAGAGTTGCATTCATAAGACCAAGAGCTGATTCTTTGAAAGGATAAACAAGATTGATAAACCTCTATCCAGGCTCACCAAGAAGCAAAGAGAGAGGACCCAAATAAAATCAGAAATGAAAGAGGTGAAGTAAGAACTGACCCCACAGAAATACAAAGGATTGTAAAAAAACACAACTCTACTCAAAAAAAACTGGACAACCTAGATGAACAACCTAGATAAAAACTGGACAACCTAGACATATTCCTAGATAAATACAATCTTCTAAAACTCAATCAGGAAGAATAAAAAAATCTGAATAGGCTGACAACTGAGGAGGAAATTGAAGCAGTAATAAAAAAGCTTCCAGCAAACAAAAGCCCTGTTCTGGACAGCTTCACAGGGGAGTTTTATTAAACATTCAAAGAAGAATTAAAACCTATCTTTCTCAGACTATTCAAAAACATTCAAGAGAAAGGCACACTCCAAGCTCTTTCTATGAAGCCAGCATTACCCTAATCCCCAAACCAGATAAACACACTACAAAGAAAGAGAACTACAAGACAACATTTCTGATGAACATAAGTGCTAAAATCCTCAACAAAATCCTAGCAAATCAGATACAGCATTACATTAGAAAGATCATACACCATGACCAAGTGGAATTTATTTCAGAGATTCAAGGCTGATAAAATATCTGCAAATCAATAAACATGATACAGCACATAAACAAACTGAGAGACAAAAATCACATAGTCACATCAATTGATGCAAAAAAAGCATTTGACAAAATCCAACATGCTTTCTTGACAAAAACTCTCAGCAAAATGGGAATAGAGGGATCATACCACAACATAATAAAAGCCTTATATGACAAATCTACAGCCAACATCATGCTCAATGGGCAAAAACTAAACTCATTTTCCCTAAGAACAGGAGCAAGACAGGGATGTCCATTTTCACTACTCCTGTTTGACATAGTACTGGAAGTGCTAGCCATAGTGATCAGACAAGAAATAAAAGGCATCCAAATTAGAAAAGAAGAAGTAAATCTGTCATTATTCTCAGATGACATGATATTGTACATAGAAAATCCTAAAGACTCCATCAAAAAACTATTAGACTTAATAAATGAATTTGGCCATATAGCAGGATACAAAATTAACACCCATAAATTTATGGCTTCTTTATACACCAAAAGGAACCCATAGGAAAAGAAACTAAAAAACAGTCCAATTTACCATTGCAACAAAAAAAATTAAGATACCTGGGAATAAATTTAAGTAAGGAGGTAAAAGACCTGTACTCAGAGATCTACAAGATATTGAAAAAAGAGATAAAGGAAGACATAAACAAATGGAAGACATACTGTGTTCATGAATTGGTAGAATCAACATTAAAATGTCCATACAAGGCAATCTATAGATTCAATGCAATGCCCATTAAGATACCAACGGCTTATTTCACAGACCTAGAACAAAAATTCATATGACACAAAAAAAGGCCCCAAATAGCCGCAGTAATCTTGACAAAGAAGAACAAAATTGGAGGGATTACAATACCAGATATCAAGCTATATTACAAGGCCACTGTTCTCAAATCTGCCTGATATTGGCACAAGAACAGATTTTTGACCAGTGGAACAGAACAGAGAACCCAGAAATCTACACAAGCCATTATGCTCAATTAATATTAGACAAAGGAGGCAAGAGCATACAATGGAGTCAAGACAGTCTCTTCAATAAGTGGTACTGTGAAAATTGGTCACATATATGCCAAAAAATGAAACTAGACCACCAAATTATACCATACACAAAAATAAAATCAAAATGTATAAAAGATTTAAATGTAAGATGGGAAAGCATAAACATCTTAGAAGAATCCATAGGCAGCAAAATATCAGACATATGTCACAGCAATATCTTTACTGATACAGCTCTTAGGACAATGGAAACTAAGAAGAATATAAAAAATGGGTCTACATCAAAATAAAAATCTTCTGCACAACAAAAGAAACCATAAACAAAACAATAAGAAAGCCCTCTGCATGGGAGAACATATTTGCCAATGTTATCTCCAATAAGAGTTTAATCTCCAAAATTTACAGGGAACTCATACAACTTAACAAAAGGAAGATAATTGAATAAAAAAATGGGCAAAGGACCTAAATAGACACTTTTTGAAAGAGGGCATACAGAAGGCCAAGAGACATATGAAAACATGCCCAAATTAATCATCTGACAGATGCAAATCAAGACAATTACGAGGTTCCATCTCACACCTGTTAGAATTGCTAACATCAACAAATGACAAGTACTAGTGAGGATGTGGAGAAAAAGGAACCCTTGTGCCCTGGTGGTAGAAATGCAGGCTGGTGCAGCCACTCTGGAAAATAGTATAAATTCCCATTTGACTCAGTAACCTCACTTCTAGGAATATGTCCCAAGAAATCAGAAGCACCAATCAGAAAGGATATATGCATCCCTATGTTCATAGCAGCACAATTTACAATAGCTAAGATTTGGAAACAACCTAAGTGCCCATCAGCAGATGAGTCGATTAAAGAACTGTGGTTCATCTACACAATGGAATACTACACTGCTGTAAAAAAGAAGGAACTCTTACCATTTGCAACAGCATGGATGGAACTGGAGAGCATTATGCTAAGCAAAATAAGCCAATTGGAGAAAAGTAAATATCACATGATCTCACTTATTTTTGGAATATAATGAACAATATAAACCGATGAACAAAAATAGAACCAGTGTCATAGAAGCTTCAAATAGACCATCCAACTTAAGAGGGAAGGCAGGGGACAGGGTGGGTAAAAGATTAACCAAAGGACTTGTATAAATGCATATGAGCATAACCAATGGACACAGACAGTAGGGGGATGAGGGCCTATGCTAGGGGGTGGGAGCAGCCAGGGAGAGGTCAATGGGGGGAAAAGGAGACTTATGTAATACTTTAAACAATAAAGAATAAAGAATTTTTTTTTTTTAAAAAAAGCTCACTGTTGCCACATCTTTCCATTTTTCAAAGTGAAAATACAGTGAAAGTTACTATGTTTATTTAATTATTTGCAACAATTTTAAATAATAAAAACCAACTCTTGCACATATACACAAATAGATGTATATAAGGCTGTTCACCACAGTATTGTATGTTATATCAAAAAAACGGAAACAAACAAAATATCAGATATGTAAATAAATGTTAATATATGATGAAAATGCATACTCCAGTAAAAAGCAATGAATTATATATTCTAAACATGTTAAGTAGAACAAAATGAGGTATGTAGCATGTTACCTCATTTATTAATAATAAAATATACCCATAACATGAATTCATATAGTTTAGGTGTACTTATAAGTATAAACAAAAGGAGGAATGTGATCAGGCATGGCAGCTGAATGGTTTCAAAAAGCCAGGATTAAAGAGTTTAAAAGAGGGAGTGTGCATGGGCCGATGATGATCGTGTGCTGTGAACTGAGGAGATGCCTCAGTTTTGATAGATCACTATGTAGTGTAGACCATAGACGAGAAGACCATGGGTCAGGTTAGATTCATGTGTTTCCACTGGAGACACCAATATAACAAGGACATAGTCTATTCACGTAAAACACTGTATAGAGAATTGAGGCAGAAAGATGTGTATATGTGTAAGTGAGGCAGAAAAATGCTGTAATAAAAAATAAACATTAATGAATTCATTCATTTACTCATTTATTTATTTATTCAACATTCATTCAAATATTTATTAAATGCCTGCTATGCTCCCAGCATTTTGCTTAACTGCAGAGTTTGTGTAGTACAGGATTTGGCTGTAAGAGTATTAAAAGCTGTGTTATTTTGTTTTTAAATCTCACCCAGCTTCCATTCTAAGAGCAGGTCCTACTAGTGCAGTGGTTCTCAACCTTCCTAATGCCGCGACCCTTTAATACAGTTCCTCATGTTGTGGTGACCCCCAACCATAAAATTATTTTCATTGCTACTTCATAACTGTAATTTTGCTACTGTTATGAATCATAATGTAAATATCTGATATGCAGGATGTATTTTTCTTGTTACCAATTAAACATAATTAAAGCATAGTGATTAATCACAAAAACAATATGTAATTATATATGTGTTTTCCGATGGTCTTAGGTGACCCCTGTGAAGGGGTCGTTCGACCCCCAAAGGGGTCGCGACCCACAGGTTGAGAACCGCTGTACTAGTGGCATAAAAGTTAGCCTCACTGAGTCTTGGATTCCTCCTTGGCATAAAGGTCATCCCTATTCTTCTGACTCACTGTAGGACTGTTGGAAAGAAAATAGTGGAAAAGCTCTTGGGAAGTATGAAGCATTCCATGATGAGAGATACATTTACTGAACTTTAGTTCTCCTTTTGGCATAGTTCTGCCTTTGCCTCAACATCTCTAAATTGCCATTGCCTGTATTTGGTCCGGGCCCACATTGCTGGTACCCAATTCACTGCCATGAACACTTGGGCTCATTGCCCCATTTCTCTTCAATCTGGCTTGTTATTTAAGCAATGCAGATATTCCGAAAACACTGCCTTTATCACTAAGTAAAAAACTCACAAGGGCAAGGATTTAGATGTCTTTCTCAATCTTATGCACATAGCCCAGAAGGCTCACCTTGGAAATTTTCTCTTTGTATCTGTTTCCAATTTTTCCATTAAATTTTTCTAAATTACCTGCTGTGGTGAGCATGTGGTCATAGTTTCCCTTTGTTCTAGGCAATTCCTTTATCCATGTTTCACCAACTGAAATGATCTTGTTCCCTGCAGGCAGTTATGAAGATTCATTTGTGGGAAAAACTTTCCTGGAATAGAAGTATTCATGCTGGTGATGTTTCCTGAAAAAAAAAAAAAAATTATTCCTGATAATAGGCTTCAGAGTGTCTGCCTAATTCCCACTGATCCACATCTGTTCCATAAAGAGACATCTCTTTGGAATCAGTGGGATTTTAGAACAACTCATCAAAGGGGGTATGAAAATCAGGTTGGGGGCAAATTTTCACTTTGGAGCCAAATACCTCTATCGAATAATAAAACAATCCATATGTTCACATTTATTAGCTTTTATTGACAATTTAAAACTATAAGCTTCTGAAGAAATGAAACATTTGCCAAAAAGATATGAAGAGATGGCTCTGTTTCATCACTGGAGTTCCTGAGCATTTTGGGTGTTAAAGTAATGCATGATTATAGGAGGATGTTAACTATAAACTGAAGCTGTTTCCTGGAGGGAACACATTTTGCAGTAACTCCCATTCAACCGAAGTTCTCAGCAAACCTAGAAAGAGTTGAATTCCTTGTATTTACTTTTTATTGTTTGAAAATTGCTGTTGCATTGCAAGTGTTATAGATGTTTGGGAAAGAAAAATGGGACATTATTAGGAACATATCTCTGGGGCATAATTCAGCTTGACTAGTAGGAGACTGAAGAAATGGCTTCACTGAAAAAGCAATGTCTGAGAAATATTATCAGTAACATGCTACTAAAACTAAACGCTGGACTGATTAGAATCAGTGGGAGTTTGGCTACATAAAAACAGCATTACGAGAACTTGTGGAAAGAAAGGAAACAGGAAGTAGCTGTATTGGAAAAGTAGGTTTTACTGGGGTAAGGAACACATTCTGAATAATTTATTAAAGAGTGAAAAAAAAAGCACTAATAGGCCCCTCACAGAGTTGTTGCACATAAGTTTATTTTTCCAAAGGACTCAATGTGATTTATAAAGTATAAATATTACTCATATAAAGAAGAGAAGCAAAATCACTAAAGTTTTGACTCACCTATGGATACAGAAAGTTGATAGTGAAATTAGCACTTGAATCCAGGTTTTCCATGAAAACTCTTTTTTTTTTTTGTATTTTTTAAAAATGTTCTTTATTGATTAAGGTATTATATATGTGTCCTTATCGCCCCATTGCCCCCCTCCCCATCCCCTCCAGCCCCGCTTATGCCCTCACCCTGCTAGTGTCTATGTCAGGGGTGGGCAAACTTTTTGACTCGAGGGCCACAATGGGTTCTTAAACTGGACCGGAGGGCCGGAACAAAAGCATGGATGGAGTGTTTGTGTGAACTAATATAAATTCAAAGTAAACATCATTACATAAAAGGGTACGGTCTTTCTTTCTTTTTTTTTTTTTTTTTTTTTTTAGTTTTATTCATTTCAAACAGTTGGATCTGGCCCTCGGGCCGTAGTTTGCCCACGGCTGGTCTATGTCCGTTGGTTATGCTTATATGCATGCATACAAGTCCTTTGGTTGATCTCTTACCCACCCTGTCCCCTGCCTTCCCTCTTAAGTTGGATGGTCTGTTTGATGCTTCTATGTCTCTGGTTCTATTTTTGTTCATCAGTTTATGTTGTTCATTATATTCCTCAAATAATTGAGATCATGTGATATTTATCTTTCTCCAACTGGCTTATTTTGCTTAGCATAATGCTTTCCATGTTCATTTATGTTGTTGCAAAAGTAAGAGTGCCTTCCTTTTTATAGCAGCAAAGTATTCCATTGTGTAGATGAACCACAGTTCTTTAATCGACTCATCTGCTGATGGGCACTTAGGTTGTTTCCACATATTAGCTATTGTAAATTGTGCTGCTATGAACATAGGGGTGCATATATCCTTTCTGATTGGTGTTTCTAGTTTTTTGGGATTGTAGGGAGAGGCTATAGGGTTAAGCCTTGGACTGACCTGTTGGCAAAACCACAAACAAGTCCCAGCTTAGAGGGCACAGCCCTCTTAGCATAATTAGGTTTGACCTTATGACACTCCCTAGATCTTATCTTAGTAGTTAATGAGCTGTGGAGCTGCAGCAAGTGCTTCCAAAACAAGTGAAACTCACAAGAACATTGTAACTATGGTGGCTACTACCTTGTTTACCTCTGGCTATAAAATAAAGGCTCAGCTTGCCTCTGGATCTATCTCTGTGGCCTCAGTCAGGCACAGAAAGATCCACCTAGACCCAGCTTATTCTCTTTGTCTGTCTTTTTTACATCCTTCACCGCTGCTCCCTGCTCCCCCCCCCCCCCCCCCAGGCTCACCGAACCCTTGGCTGAGCTGGCTCTGCACAGGGATATATTCCTAGAAGTGAGATCACTGGGTCAAATAGGAATTCCATTTTTAGTATTTTGAGGAAACTCCATAGTGTTCTGGAAAGTGGTTGTACCAGTCTGCACTCCCACCAGCAGTACACGAAGGTTCCTTTTTCTCCACATCCTCACCAGCACTGTCATTTGTTGATGATAGCCATTCTGACAGGTGTGAGATGGTACCTCATTGTTGTTTTGATTTGCATCTCTGAGATAATTAGTGACTTTGAGCATGTTTTCATATGTCTCTTGGCATTCTGTATGTCATCTTTTGCCCATATTTTGTTTGGGTTGTTTATCTTCCTTTTGTTAAGTTGTATGAGTTCCCTATAAATGCTGGAGATTAAACCCTTATCACAGATAACATTAGCAAATATGTTCTCTCATGCAGTGGGCTTTCTTGTTGTTTTGTTGATGATTTCTTTCGTTGTACAGAAGCTTTTCATTTGGATGTAGTCTTATTTGTTTATTTTCTCTTTAGTTTCCATTGCCTGGGAGCTGTATCGGTGAAGATATTGCTTCAGCATATGTCTGATATTATGCTGCCTCTGGATTCCTCTAAGATTGTTATGGCTTCCCATCTTACATTTAAGTTCTTTATCCATTTTGATTTTATTTTTCTGTATGGTGTAACTTGGTGGTCTAGTTTCATTTTTTTTTTTTTGCATGTATCTGTCAGATTTTCCCAACACCATTTATTGAAGAGACTGTCTTTATTCCATTGTATGCTCTTGCCTCCTTTGTCAAATATTAATTGATCATAGTGTTTTGGTCGATTTCTGGGTTCTCTATTCTATTACATTGATCTATCTGTCTGTTCTTGTGCCAGTACCAGGCAGTTTTGAGAACAGTGGCTTTGTTATACAGGTTGATATCTGGTATTGAGATCCCTCCTACTTTGTTCTTCTTTCTCAGGATCACTGCAGCTATTCAGGGTCTTTTTTTTATTCCAGATGAATTTTTGCAGAGTTTGTTCTAGGTCTGTGAAATATGCCATTTGTGTTTTAATGGGGAGTGCATTCAATCTATAGATTGCTTTGGGTAGTATGGACATTTTAATGATGTTGATTCTACCAATCCAAGAACATGGTATGTTCTTCCATCTGTTTATATCTTCCTATATCTCTTTTCTCAGTGGCCTGTAGTTTTCCAAGTATAAGTCTTTTATCTCCTTAGTTACGTTTTTTCCTAGGTATCTTATTTTTTGTTGTTGTTGCAATGGCAAATGGGATTGTTTTTTAACCTCTCTTTCGCTATTGGTGTATAAAATGACATAGATTTCTGGGCGTTCGTTGTGTATCCTGCTCCATTGCCGAATTCATTTATTAAGTCTAATAATTTTTTGATGGAATCTTTAGGGTTACCTTTGTACACTATCATGTCATCTGTGAATAAGGACAGATTTACTTTCTTTTCCAATTTGGATACCTTTTATTTCTTCTTTTGTCTAATTTCTATGGCTAGCACTTCCAAGTACTATGTCAAACAGGTGTGTTGAAAGTGGGCATCCCTGTCTCCTTCCTGTTCTTAGGTGAAATGGTTTTAGTTTTTGCCCATTGAGTGTAATGTTGGCTGTAGGTTTGTCATATAAGGCTTTTATTATGTTGAGGTATGATCCCTCTATTCCCACTTTGCTGTGTTTTTTCTTCTTCTTTTTTTTTCAATCAAGAAAGGGTGTTGAATTTTGTCAAATGCTTTTTTGCATCAAATGATATAACTATGTGATTTTAATCTCTCAATTTATTTATGCGATGTATCACGTTTATTGATTTGTGGATATGGTACCATCCTTGCATCCCGGAATAAATCCTACTTGGTCATGGTGTATGATCTTTCTGATGTAATGCTGGATCCGGTTTGCTAGAATTTTGTTGAGAATTTTGGCATTTATGTTCATGGAGGATATTGTCCTGTAATTTTCTTTCTTTGTAGTGTGTTTATCTGGTTTTGGTATTAGGGTAATGCCGGGTTCATAGAATGAGCTTGGAAGTGTTCCTTCCTCTTGAATTTTTTGGAGTAGTCTGAGGAGGATGGGTTTTAGTTCTTCCTTGAATGTTTGGTAAAACTTCCCTGTACAGCTGTCTGGCCCTGGGCTTTTGTTTGCTGGAAGCATTTTGATAACTGCTTCAATTTCTTCCATAGTTATTGGCCTATTGAGATTTTTAGAATCTTCCTGATTGAGTTTTAAAAGGTTGCATTTTTCTAGGAATATGTCCATTTCCTCTAGGTTGTCTAGTTTTGGAATAGAGTTGCTCATAGTATATATATATATATATATATATATATATTTTTACAATCCTTTGTTTTTCTGTGGGGTCTGTTGTTATTTCACCTTTCATTTCTGATTTTGTTTATCTGTGTCCTCTCTTTGAGTTTTGGTGAGCCCGGCTAGAGGTTCATCAATCTTGTTTATCCTTTTCAAGAACCAGCTCTTGGTGTCATTGATCTTTTGTATGTATGTATTTATTTATTATTTATTTATTTATTTATTTATTTATTTATTTATTTATTTATATTTTTATTTATTTATTTGGTCTCTATGTCATTTATTTCTGCTTTGATCTTTATTATTTCTTTCCTTTGCTCACTCTGGGCTTTTCTTTTTTCTTTTTTTAATATATTTTATTGATTTTTTACAGAGAGGAAGGGAGAGAGATAGAGAGTTAGAAACATCGATGAGAGAGAAACATCGATTAGCTGCCTCCTGCACATCTCCTACTGGGGATGTGCCCGCAACCCAGGTACATGCCCTTGACCGGAATCGAACCTGGGACCTTTCAGTCCGCAGGCTGACGCTCTATCCACTGAGCCAAACCGGTTTCGGCCTCTGGGCTTTTCTTGTTGCCCTGTTTCTAATTCTTCAAGTTGCAGAGCTAGATGGTTTATTACCATTTTTTTCTTGTGTTTTGAGGCAAGCCTGTAGAGCTATAAACTTCCCATTCAGGACTGCTTTCACTGTGTGCCA